GACTAGGGATGCAAGAGTGAGGGAGTCTAATGCAATAGTAATACCTCATTGAGCACGTATAATTTGCTATTGCAATATAAAGAGATCTCAAATGAGATTCTTGTTATTGGAAATTATTTTTCCTTTTTTTAAATTTTTTTTTTTAAGTAGAAACAGACCACGGTTTACAAAAGCATGTTGGAAGGAAAAAAAATTCCAACATGGCATTTCCTTGGCCTAAAAGCAAAAATATGCCACGTGGCCATGCAAAATCTTTTGACGTAGCCACATGACATATTTACTATAATATTTTTGACAATGTTATTGTAATATTATTATATTTTCTATGGAATCTGACAATGTTATAATAATTTTCATTTGTACCTGCTTATTCATATTTTATTATTGCGTTTTATAATATTTACTATAAATATTGAGCTTAATATTTTGACGTGACAACGTGGCATATTTACCATAAAACTATCAATGACAATGTAATATTTCACTAGACAAATATTCACTGAGTATCTTATAGAGAAAATCTAGATAATTGCTAGTTTAAAAAGAGTGTTCGTCTAAAATTTTCATCTTTAATCCAATTATAACATACTATTATACAAAGATTATTTCTCACATATATAAATCCACATTAAATTCTTCACTGAGACAATGTGTGCAAACCTCTCGCCAACTTGACGTCTTCTGACCACTACAATTTAATACCTACAAAAATAAGGAAAGCAGCAGGGTGAGCTACAAATGCTCAGTAAGTAAACCAAATGCTCTTACTTTGTTGTCCCCATTTCTATGGTACTGCTTCTAAATTTCTACTTGCTTTTTCTGTTTATTCTCAGGTATACTACTTAGCAGTCTTTCATTTTTCTCAAATCTTTCTAAATCCTTCTAGGGCTATGATATTCTTTATCATTTTATTTCTCTTCTCGACTAGATTATAACTTTCTGTTTCTTTCTCTACTCAACAAATCACTAAGTTTTCTTGCTATTTGTCATGTTTTTAATTTCTGTTCTTTTCTAGCATGTATCTAATTTCTGTCATTTTTCTTGTGTATCTCTCTAATTTCTATTCTATTCTCGTAGGCTTCTATTTTATTTTCTTCTCTATTCTTATGGGCTTCTATTTTCTTTTTTCTCTATTCTCATGGGTTTTTATTTTCTTTTTTTAGCTAGTCAGACATGCATAAGATGCAATGCACATGAAATGTCTAATGCATATGCAAATGATCATGTTTGTATCCATTTTGAAAGTTCTTTTCTAATTCTTTCTGTTTTCTAATTCTTATTCTATTTTTCCTTCTTTCTGAAATTCTTTCGGTTTTCTGTTTCTTATTCTATTTTTCTTTCTTTTTGAAATTCTTTCGGTTTTCTGTTTCTTATTCTATTTTTCTTTCTTTTTGAAATTATTTTTGTTTTCTGTTCTGGTTTGCCGATCAGACTAGGCTGAGGCATGGATTTGGAACCCTGGCCGTGTGAGCGTATTCTAAAATTCTTTTTGGATACAGTCCTCATCCACATGCACTTCTAGCCAACTGTACAATTTTGTTTTTCTATTCTGAGGCCGCTCACTGATGGCGGCGTACGTGCGGGAAACTTCTGCATCTCTGTTGTCACTAGCTAACGTAGCAAATGCTCACAGGTTCCCCATCGCAACAGAACCCTAAAAACATGCTCTGTAAATCTGCAAAATAACTAGCTAGACATTTCCAATAATTATAAAATTTCTGAAATATATGCTACGCTATGTCATGCATTTATATGCTGTCTATGCATGATCCCAAAATATGTGTCTGACTCTAGCATGTATTCTATTAATTCTAAGGCTTTTATTTCTATACTTTTCTGGAAAGCCCAAAGTTCTATTCTACTAACACGCTTAAATTAAAAATCTTCTATTTTATTCTTTATTTCTCAATTCTATGCATCGTGTGTACGTACGTAATTCTATAATTTCTACATAATTATGTAATCCTTCAATTCTATCATGCTATGTAAAATGTACACGTACAAAAGTATATTAGCTCTCACAAATTGTACTATTCTATAATTATATTAGTGAGATATTAAAATGGCACAATTCAACTAGGGAATGAATTCTACATTTTGGGCAATCTAATTTGCCACAACTTAGGTATTAAGTCTACTAACTTGCCCAATTATACTACTAGTTTTTCTTAAACTTATATGTCACATAACCATGTCAAACTCTCTACTATTTTTCTAATGTAACAAACACGTCTTGTACAACTTTTTAAATACAAATCTTAATACCATAAATTTGCATTCTCTTACATGACCATCAACTTCAATTATTATACATGCCCTTCTTTCTTCTTTTCTTTGCGCTACATTCTATACATTAATCTATATTGCCATATTAATCATTATGAATTCAATCTAACATATGGCACAACATATATACTTTGGCTAAATTCTAATTTCTTTCTAACATTCTTAACTAAACTTTTGGCCAATACAACCTATTCTCAAGATTTTTTAGCACAATTCTATAGCTTGTAATATATAATAAGGCATGAAAACTATACTCATACCAATCAATTTCTAAAATGGTCATGTATTTAATGCAAAACCAAACTTCTATTTCTTTGATGTTTCTTTTGATATCTATACTTGGGAAATATCTATACTTGGGAAAACTTTTCTATTCTTTAAGCAATAAAATCACTTATTGCATATTGTTTGTAATTAATCTCAAAACAAGAAACAACAATATACTCATTTGGCCAAGCCATCTTCTTGCGTCCTGAAAAATTTTCTCTTCTCCTAGCTTTGTTAATCCTAGCGTCATTCGTTTTACCACCCTCACATTTCTGACTAGCCTATTTGTTTCTCATTATCATACTCCATTCTATGCACTGCATGGAGTCTAATTGAACGCTTCTTCAACTGCCTTCTTTACACTCTACCATCATTTCCTACCATCTTCATCACTTGGGTTAACCAAAACCAAGAAAACCTAAAACCAACTCTTGCTACAGTTGAAGATTTTGAAGAAGTTGAAGTAAGAGGTAACCTAATTGAGCATGATCTAAAGCAAATTGGAATTCATAGATAGGCAGCTAGTGTCTCTGTAGAGACATGGTGATGGTTAATTTGCCATGTTGCTATATTGAGAATGTAATTCATGACTTTGCAATTAGTACACGTGGTACAAAGGTTGGAATTGGCCGTTATTTGGACTTACCGTTGTTGTAGTAATTTAGTAAGTTGTGACGGTTATTTGTCAATTAGTTTAATTTTGTTGTGAAGTATTTTCTGTTTCTTTACTTTATTAATGTATCCAATAAAGGTATTGTTGTTGCGTGTCCTGTTTATCATCCAACTCGATTGGACCATGACATAGGACGTCTAGCTGATGAATTCCTAGAGCGGGCTAAGCATTAGAAGCCCATACGTAAAGCCCAAATGTCCTAAATGAGCATGTCCTGTTCAAACGGCTATAACTTTTGATCTAGGAGGAGTTTCGGGGCCTATAAGATATTAATAGAAAGCTCTTTTCGAGCCCGACAATGTGTTTAGTTGGTTAGAGGTCATTTTCGAGATCAAAATCCATCGTTTTGACGTGTTTTAGGGTTATTTTAGTTTTTTGCGCGTTTTTTCCTATTTTATTTTGGGTTTTCATGTTTTAATTAATTTAGATTTTGTTTCCTTTTGTTATTAGGAGTCTTATTAGGATTGGTTGTCACCCTATATAAACTTATTTTTCGTTTTGGATGCTACACAATGAATTATTCAGATTTTATTTCAAATTTTAAGGCTTAAGTTTTTGTGATTGAGACTTGTTATTAGTTTTAAATGTATAGTCTAGTGCTAGCCTTGTTGTTATGCTAACTCGCTGTGTCATATCAAGTTTATGGTTACTGAAAGCTATCTTTGTTGTTGGATTTTGATATATTTCATCTTGGTAAAAAAGAAAAAAAATCCTATGTTAACCGTTGGATTACTCCTATCCAAATTAAAACAAAATCTAGAAAATAAAAAAATTGGAACTATGGGCAGTGAAAAAAAATAAGGTAAAAGTGCATAATCTGGTCACTTGTGCCACTGCTAAAACTAGCTTCTCTAGAACACAATTCCAGAGATGATGTCAGATCTAATCCCTTTTCAGAAACTCCGGTTTCTGTCGTTATATTGTCTAAAGAATTTGAAGAGCATCTTCGGGAAGGCCTTGCCCTTCCAACATCTCAAGGAAATTGAAGTATTTGACAGCCCTAAGCTTAAGAAGCTTCCACTAGATTCAAATAGTGCAAAGGAACATAAAATTGTTATCAAGGGACAGAAAGAGTGGTGGAAAGAGTTGCAAGGGGAGGATGAAGCCACTCTAAATGCTTTTCTTCCTTGTTTCAAATCTCTCGGAGGGTTATTAAGGGCACTAATTGAGCTAGGAAAATGAAAGGCTGTGCAACAACCATTGGGCCTACTTTTTCAGAACTGTATTAGAGGTCCATCCCTCCTCCTTTCCCAAGGTTTGATCTAATCTTTTATAATTTTGAAAAATTGGATTATTACTTGTACAAATATTTCGCATTCAAAGGATAAGATTAGTATAATTTATAATGGTGAAGCGAATTTTATAATATTTAACTTTGGCTATGCATTTTCTTTCTTACTTTTAAGTTTTAATTCCTATTTTGGTTTGCCTTGTGAACTTCGATGAAATTCCCATTATAATTCTAATTGTTCATAGAACAGAGTGCAGCAAAATGAATTCTTTAAACTCTGTATAATTCTATCATCTGTTTCTCTTGTTTCATACTCGGTAGTTTAACAACCAGCAGACCTGCTATTGAATGAGTTACAGAAATTTCTCTTCCTTGTGAAAGGTTTGAACTTTCTTATAATTCTATCATCTCTTCAATACTCTGTAGCTTTAGTTTACATGATGAACTTTAAATTTCTTATTAATTTGGAAAAATAATTGATTTTTTATTGGACAGAGAAAGGAAGTATTGAACTACTACTTTTAAAACAAGACTTGCAGCTGAGAAGAAGCTAACTAAAAAACCCAATCAGGCAAGTAAAAGTGCAAAATCTGGTCACTTGTGTTGTGCCACAGCTAAAACTAGCTCCTCTGGAACACAATCCCATTTTGAATATCAAACTTGGTGGTGTAGTATAAATAGCTCCTCTGGAATAATTGATGGTTTATTGGGCACAGAAAGGAAGAATTGAATTAGTTCCTTACAAAATCTTTACAACACAGACTTTAGAGTACATGCTGTCAAGATTAATCTGACTACTGATGGTAAAGCAGAATGTATCACTAAAGTTGATCCAGGAGGTTGGAATCCTTGACCTTCAAAAGGCTGCATGCATTGTCTTCTGTAGCACTCACATAAAAATGCAAATACTGTCCAAAAGCTGTATCAAGCTTTGCCTCTCGGCGGTTAAATGTGATACAACATGCATTCCTCTTATCAAGCTGATCATTTTGAATGGCCTCGTTTTGAACGTCCATTGAAAGAAAGGCTACTAGTTGTACTATTAAACAAAGGAAATTAACAGAACATGTAAGTAATCAATCAATAACCATTCTAAATTAAACTGCAGAACACAATTAAGTATATTAACCTTCCACAGGTTTGCACCACAAAGTAGAGCTTCTAATGCCACATTCAACAGCATTTTGCAGTGCCTTATAAATTCACGATTGTTATTGATCTATCTGCAATAATTCAATAAACATAGTTTTCAAATCAGATGTTTGAAGTCCGCGGATTCATGGTAATATGCAAGAAGATAATAAAGTATATTCTATATGACATAAAAACATAAAATCTATTTAATATTCTTCCAATAATCTATCCATTCCAGAACAAAGGATCTAACATATCTTTCTGCAAATTTTAAATGTAGTATATTTTTTATGTGAGAAGAAGATTCAAATTCTTTGTTCTCCGTAACATAAAAACATAAAGTACATTCTATATGTCAAGAAACTAGTTAGCACTTAGATATCAGTGATGCGGATTTCACATCCAACAATCTGACGCTAGAAATAAATTTATTTCAGATGTGCGAAGGACAAGGCCTTCAAAATAGATGCTCTTCACATTTTAATGAAATAACAAATACTTCAAAACAACAGAGATATTTGTTCTGGGTTTTCAATCTAACCAATCTTCAAGTAATTTTTGAAAAGTCTTTAAAGAAATCCTAAATAGCAGTTGGGGTTAGATTTAATATTGGAAGTAATTAATTAATAATCTAAAGATATCTCAATGAGTCTGTGATGCTCATATAAATAATTATTTTTTTAATTAGATAAAATTTTAAAGAATTTTTCAAGCAATCTTGACAACACTACAAGCTACATTCAGTAATCAACAATTTTTGAAACAAATATAGATAAAATTGCATACCAGAAAGAAACAAGGAAGAAAAGCATTCAGAGTGGCTTCATCCTCCCATTGCAAATTTTTCCACCACTTTTCCTCTCCCTTGATAACAATTTTATGTTCCTTTGCACTATTGGCATCCAATGGAAGCTTCATAAGCATTGGGCAGTAAAATACATAAATTTCCTTGAGATGTGGGAAGGGCAAGGCCTTCGCAAAGATGCTCTTCAAATTCTTCAAACAATTTAACACAAGAAATTGGAGTTTCTGAAAAGGGATTAGATCTGACATCATCCCTGGAACTTCACCCAATTTTTCAACATTGATGATTTCTTTCATCGCATCACAACTGTCTATAGAAAGAAACTTGAGGTTTGGAATAAAAGCAATCCATGTCAAATCCCTCAAACAGTTGCAATTTGATAGTCTTATATCGTGAAGATTGTAGAAACTAGATGGTTCCCGTATTTTTTGTACATTCCCTACCTTCACCATATCAGAGCCGTCCCATTCACTAATTTCTAGTTGAAAAAGATGCTTGAGAGTTGCAAGAGCTGCAATATTGAACGACGTTGACTCATAAAAACCGTTAAGGAATAGAGATTGAGTACAACTCTGTAACTTAACGGAGCTCAAAAGTCTTTGGAGAGCATTGTAACTTCGCAAGGTGATGGACAGCACATTTAAATATTCCAAACAATCACATTCCTCCACCAACACTTCACCACCACCATCAAATAAAACACTATCCTTTATTCTAAATTTAGCACTGGTACCACATTTGTTCATTCTCAATGTACGTAAACTTTGAAGATTAGATATCAATTGACGCGGAATTGTTTGTAGCCAGCTCGTACTCTCCAAGCTCAAACATTTAAGATTTTTTAAGGCTTTTAGTTCAACCGGCAGCACTATTATAGGAGTACGTGATAGATTAAGATATTGTAATGAAACCAATTTTGATACTCCAACCGGTACTTTAGAAAGCCCAAAACTAAGTGACAGATCCAAAACTTTAAGAGAAGGCATAAAGTCAAAGAAGTTATCACAGACAGATCCTAACGTACCTATATTGAGAAACAAAGTTTGGAGATCATGGCATGTAGGTGTTTGTGACAAAGCCAAAGTACCATTGCCTATTAATGATATTTTTCTTACTCCAACCCATTTTCCAATCACTGGTGCTTGAGTTAATCCAGTGGCTGCTTCAACTAAATAATTTTCTTTTTCCTTCTCAATATCATTAGCTATCCATAAAAGCATGTCACGTATCACATCATGCAATTTTACAAAGTAATCTCCTTTGTCATCTTCCTTATCTTTTTCTTCTTCCAATAAACATGCATGAACAAGGATACCAATATTATAATATCCCTCGTCATATACTTCACTTCTATTAGAGTCATCCAAAAAACCCTCACCTATCCAACAGTCTATCAATTGTTGTTTACCAATCAGAAAATCTTCTGGATATAAACAACAATATAAAAGACAAGATCTAATTTTGTCACTAGGCAAACTATCATAACTGAACTTTAAAAGAGGATACACTTCTGTCCCCATACCTGCAAATTGAGATGCTGAGTTCCTTAACAAACTTGCTGCATACCTCCATTCTTGAGGTGTGTTCTTGCAAGACATGGCTCGACTAACAGTTAATAGCGCAAGGGGTAGTCCACCACACTCTTTGGCTACAACTTTTGCTAATTGAGGAATATCAGGATGGTCCAAAACTNCACGCTTCAATTTGATATAAAACGAAGAAGACCCCTCCATTAAGGGGATTCGGCCATTCTTTACAGAAAATAACTCTCTCTCTCTTGTAAAAGAAAACACTTTTAAACTTCTTGTATGTCAGTTCGCCTCGCGACCTAACCCACACAAATATCAATACTAATCAGTGGACGTAGGACTTGCTACCTTAGCATCCGAACCACTTTAAAAGTCTTTTTTGCATTTATTTCACTTCATGCATCCATAATCATGTGCATTAATTCATCAAATAGCAAAACCCACGTGACAATTGGTTGGTGCAGAAACGAGCATCAACACACATCATGCAATTTTACAAGATAATCTCCTTTTTCTTCTTCCAATAAACATGCATGAACAAGGATACCAATAATATAATATCTCTCGTCATATACTTCACTTCTATTAGAGTCATCCAAAAAACCCTCACCTATCCAACAGTCTATCAATCGCTGTTTATTAATCCGAAAATCTTCTGGATATAAACAACAATATAAAAGACAAGATCTAATTTTGTCACCAGGCAAACTATCATAACTGAACTTTAAAAGAGGATACACTTCTGTCCCCATACCTGCAAATTGAGATGCTGAGTTCCTTAACAACTTTGCTGCATGCCTCCATTCTTGAGGTGTGTTCTTGCAAGACATGGCTCGACTAACGGTTAATAGCGCAAGGGGTAGTCCACCACACTCTTTGGCTACAACTTTTGCTAATTGAGGAATGTCAGGATGGTCCAAAACTTCACTTTGTAGATTCTCCTCAAACAATTTCCAAGCTTCCTCATCTCTCAAAAACTCCACTTTGAAATGCTTGTCAGCTTTCATGTAGCCGCAAACTTCAAAAGACCGAGTTGTGAACACTACTTTCGATACAGATTTTGGGTTTGGAATAGGGACACCCACTTCAGTTAAATTAATCCAGCTCCACAAACTTCTTGCTACTCAATATCTTGAAGATATCCCCAGCTTTCTTTTGAAGACTTCTTGTCTTCCAAGATTCCGCCTTTAAACCTATCTTTTCCCCAATGTCTTCTTGAATCTTTTCAAAATTTGGAACTCTAGATACTACCACCCAAATAACAACATCAAAACTTTGAAGCTCATTGCAGAACTTATTGTTGATTTGTTTTAGTAAGGTTGTTTTGCCAACTCCCCCGGTGCCGTATATGCCAATGATTCCTACTTCTTCTCCAACGAGGCATTTCCAAACTTTATCAAATGTGGATTCCAATCCAAGTATTGTTGATTCAAGAGGAATTTCATCTGCAACATCATCTGGTACCCTCTCAGCTACCTGTTGGAAAGCAGCTCCCTCACTCCTTAGCTTAGCCACATATTTCAGCTTTTCAGCCACTTGTTTTCCATACTCATAGCTTGACTTGCAGTTCTTGGAACAGTATCCTCCAAGACATAATTTGTCAGTTTGTTGAGATTTGAGTTGAAGTAGTTTATCAACTTGGGCTTCTGCCTCTTGCACCTCTTGAAGCCAGCCTTGAACACGGTCCATCCGTTTCATCTGGCTTTGTTCATCAACGCGAACCCTCCTCGTAACATCATTTCTGGTTTGAATTAATTGTTGCAATTCAGTCTCCAAGGCTTTGAGATTATCTTTGAGGTCGCGAACGTGTTTTGCCCTTCTTATAGTGCAATCTAAAAAACGAGAAAGAACAGGATCAAATGAAGATGAGACTGAGACTGAGAAAACGCTACCCATAGTTTGTGAGAAGATGTAGTTCAATGAAGAGAGATAGAGAAGTGATCAGTTTAATGAAAATAATTTTTCAAAACAACGTCTTAAATCCTTTTAAAATCTTTCTCTTACTGTTTTAAATCAATAAATTCAGTTGACTTAATTTTATTTTAAAATTTCTTAAAAGCCTTTTAAAGCCTTTATTTACCATAAACAATAGCTTTACTCAAATTATTTTACTTGAAATATTTTTCTAAAACCTAAGATAAATGCTTTTATGATTATATTCATTTATTGATTTATTTTAGATTAATCCCCTTTTTTATTAAATTTTATTCAATAAAAATGTTTTTATCTCATCAAATTTTTTATTTTATCACTTTGTATATCTTATTTTATGTTTATATTAATGAGAGATAATCATATTAAAGAAAGATAATTAGGAAACTAATGAAGTTTAAAATATGCCGCTGGAAAATATTTAATAAAATAAATGGACTTTCAATGAGATAAATTCTCATTAAAGTAAAGCGAATTAGATTAAATAAAAGAGTAATTCATTTTGGATGATAAAGGGCCGAGATTCATTTAAGGAAATAGTAAACAAAAGAGATTAATAATTTGATAAATTTAAATGCTTTTATCAAGAAAATAGTACGATGAATATGTCTAATATATTATAAATAAATCAATAAAAGAGATAAAAAGGTATAAATTATGAACTATATAATGTTAATCCAAGAATTAAATATAAAATTAATTTATTTTCAGCATTAATGATAATAATTGAATATAAATGCATTATTATTGATAAATAATATTGGAACATTATCTACCATTTAAAATATTTTTTACAGAAATGACTTGTTTTAAACTTGGCAAACACTTAACTAAAGGTCATAATAGGTATTTCCATGTTAAAATATTAAATAATAAACATTTTCACTAAATAGGAAAAATAAAACTAGAGGTTCCATAAATAATTTTCTTTCTTCTTCTCAATGTCATCAGCTATCCATAAAACCATATCATGGATCATATAAAGCATTTTCTCAACATAATCTCAACCATATCACGGGTCGGTTATATCATGGTTATCACTTACCCTTAATTTTCTACCATATCACGGGTAGGCGACGGTGACTCTTGCTAATAATTTCCTTTGACTGACTCCATTTCCAGCTGCGCATGGGGTCGGCAACAGTGACTCTTGCTAATAAGTTCAAAATTTTCACATTTAAAATAAACACCTGTCCCAAGACTATACGAAATATCCTAAGCTTAAAACACTGCTTGTCTAAATAAATTACAAATTCAAATTCATTAACGAACGGGGCCTAATTAGTATGGTTCCTTTGACTCTAATTTAATTAAGAAATTATAAACATAAGTTGTAGTTTACACTATGTCAGAGAACGGATTTCATATACAAACTTACTCAAATAAATTGACATATTTTAAGATGGTTGAGAGACTTAAAATTTAAAGTAAATTAAAAGTAGATTAAATGAACCAACATTAATAGACTTTCCTCTCAATAATCCATTAAATAGAGAAAAGTGTAAAAAAAATGATTTTAATCTTATCTTAATTTATTAAAAATATATTTGAAAGTGAAATAAATTATTTAGATCTAAAATATCCTACTATATATATATACAAAATGGCAAAGCTAGGAATCATGGGGAAGAAGGGCGCACTTAAAAAATATTAAAGGCGGCGTTTGAAATACTATTTTTACACTGTCTTATCTTACTATCCTATCAATCAATTCAAAATACAACCCTATTCTACTAAACTCAAAACATTTAATAATTATCTTTTTTAATAAAAGTTTTAAAATTAACAAAAACACCCCCACCCACCTAAGCCACTATCACCTGCTAGCAGCCATTGCCATTAGTTGTCGTCGCTACCACTGTCGTCACCGTAACAACGCATGACCAATAAAATCTAGCTGACCGTGTGCCAATCTGTCTGTTTTCGGCCAAAGATCTGATCGTTTTCGGCCAGATCGGCACACAACTAGCCAGATCCAATGGATTGCGTACCATTCTGGCAACTTTCAACCACTGTCCGGTGGTGGTGGTTGGCTGCCGACAATAGTTAGGTGGATGAGAATGTTTTTGTTAATTTATAAACTTTTATTGTGAAGGGTTTTTAGTTAAATTAACAAATATAAGAGGTTAAAAATATCTAAATATTTTTTAAAACACATTCTCAAAATCTTATCCTATTTGATTAAATAGTATTCTACTATTGTAAAAAGTAAAACAAAATATGGAAGCGGAAGTGTGAAAATAATTAGATAAAAGTCTATGGCTTAGCTTTCTTCTAAATAAATTAACAAATTTATAGATAATAACAAAGACCCTTGTTATTATTACTACGTGTTGATGCCCACTTTTGTCAAAGAGACCCAACAAGGCCCAATACCATTTTGGGTTCAAAGCAAGGTATGTTGGACTTCATATAAAGGTTTGTTTTCTTAACCCATCCCTGAAGATCAACGGACCCAAACCATTTTAAGGAGCACTTTTGGTGGGTTATGGTGTAGTAGGACAAAGTGTTTATTAAGACTTATTAAGGTTGTTTGTGGCATTTCTTTAAATTAGACCCATGTGGGAGGATTCTAATTGGATATCTTGGACTTAGTCAGCAACAAAAGTTATTTTAAAAGCCTAAGTCCAAATTGTTTTCAAATTAATTTTCTAAAATTATGAAAAAATTCCCAAAATAGCATTGTGTAAAATTGCATATTTTCTAGGTTTTATTTATTACAAATATTTTGATATTGTCTTTTGAGTTGACTTTTTCATAAAATTTGTTTTCATTGATTTTATATTTTCTAAGCTCTTACAAAATTAGAAGATGCTCCTGTTTAAGTTTTCTTAATTTTCTGATCTGTATTTGATTTTATAAAATTATTTCTCTCCTGAAAACTTTTTGTTTTAACCTTTGGGATTTTCGTTTTATTTTAATTCTTTTCAAAACAATGTCTTAAATCCATTTAAAAATCTTTCTCTTACTGTTTTAAATTAATAAATTTAATTGACATAATTTTATTTTAATCTTTATTTATTTTAAAATTATTTAAAGCTTTAGTTGCCATAAACTATAGTTTTACTCTAATTATTTTCAATAATACTATAGTTACAAAAAAATCTTACAAAGATTTCATACAAAGTGAGGTGGTAAAAAATGAATTGAAGAGTGAAACAAAAACTCAAACTCATTATATTCACTCTTTCATTCATTTTTTGTCACATCACTTTGTACGTAGATCTTTTGAAAAAGTGTTTTAAGTTAAGTTGAGTTGAATTAAATCAAATTGGATCAAATTCTGAAAATGTGTTTGGTAAAATATTTGAAAAATATATAAGAGCTTAATAAAATGCTGAATAGCTGTTTGGCATATTTTTTTGGGTATCTTAAGATAATCATTTAATCTTTAATTTAAAGAATTTGAATCTATATATCACTATTTGGAGGGGAGGGTATAATGGTCCAAATGAATCTTCAATAAACCGTTGATACAGCTGGATTTTAGAAGCAAGGTTGGTGTTGTAAATAAGTGGGAAATAGTAGGGGCAAAATGGGGAAAAGAAAGATGGTGAGGGAGGTGACAGCTGGCAATCAACTCATTCAAAGGTGGCAATAGAAGAGTGGGGCCTCTTGAATTCTCATCTCTTTGATCTCTGTAATGGGTGATGATGTCGATTGTGAAGTTGATCTTTAACAAATATTCTACTTGAGAAAGATGGGGTTGAGACACATCGATGGATTCCTTAAATTTTGGTAGAATAATTGGCCCCATTGGGTACAAAATGTTACTATCAGACTATCCCAAAAATACATTTTGTACCCAATGGGGCCAATTATTCTACTTGAGAAAGATGGGGTTGAGACTTGAGTCCTTGACGGATCACATCGATGGATTATAATTGTAACCTGCGGAGCAATTCTTTGCACCCAATGGGGCCAATTATTCTACACAATGATCTTTCATGGTAATTTACAAGCTTGTATCTCTGGCCTTTATAAAGCCCTATAGCCTGCTTCTTTGCTTAAACATTGACAACCATGGATTTCTCTGTTGATTTGAGGCATTTTTTCTCACCTTTGCTAAAAATTTTATTTCTAGTAATGAAACGCTGAAGACATTCTTAGATATCAATTTCTGTTCATCCCATTGTTGATTTTTGCTCTTCTTTTACTTCTAACTTTTCTCTTCACACCCATCACACTCACTTTTAGGGGGCGTTTGGTTCAGGAATGTTAGATTACTGGGAATATTGGATTACTGGAAAGATAGATTACTTTGGAAGATTACTGGGAATCTTTAAGAAAATATGTTTGGTTAGTTGGTGGGTATGTTATATTAATATATTTGGTTATGGGAATAAATTGGTGGGTATGTTATTTAAATTACTAAATTGACCCTCTTTTAAATATTAATATAATATTATTTTTATTATTAATTTTTGAATAATTTTTTAACCCCTAATATTTCAGATTTAGCTAAAACACCCCCGCTTATAAAAAAACTTTAATTCATGACGAAATCACCCCCACCTCCTGCCGCCGCCTGCCGCCACCGCGAAAAACCGCCGGAAAATCGCCGGAGCCCCTAAAAACACTGGAAATTTTGTGGGAGGCTTCGATATGGCCGTTTTGGCCATATTGATGCGGAAAACGGCCATATGGGCCAGATCAATCTGGCCATTTCTGGCCAGATCGAGGGATTTGGCCGTTAACGGCCAGGTTGGTCCAGACCTGGCCGCTAATGGCCAGGGATCTGGCCGGAAATGGCCAGAATAGATTGGCCATTTCCGGCCAGATCTGGCCCGATATGGCCGTTTTCGGCCATCAATATGGCCAAAAACGGCCATATCGAAGCCTCCCGGAGCCTCCCACAGAATTTCCATGTTTTTGGGGACTCCGGCAATTTTTCGGCGGTGGTCCGTGGTGGTTGACCGCTGTCGGCGGTGGTGGCTGGGTGGCTGTGGTGGTGGTGGCTTGGTGACAGTGGTGGGCTGTAAATTATTTTAAATATAAGGGCATTATTGTCCAAATTTTTATTAAACAAGGGTAAATGAAATAGGATATTAATGTAAATTTGTTTAAAGTAGGGTATATTGTCCAAAATTTTTGTTAATAAGGGATAAAATTGTAACAAAAAAGATAACCCTGATAATCTTAAAAAACCTAAGAAAATGGAGGTAATCAGATTACCTCTTATATTACCAATAGTAACCACTATTGGTATTTGAAGATTACTGGTATCTTATACTGACAACCAAACGTGGTAATCAAGTAATATAAGATGACATTACCCAGTAATGCCACTAACCCGAACCTACTGCCCCTTAGTACAAGTCATCCTATCTCTTGCATCCCGAAAATTTTTTTCTTCCGTAACTTTATCAATCTTAGCGTCATTCGTTTTATTACCCACATTTCTTAGTAGCCTATTTGTTTTTCACTATCATATTTCTATGGGTTGCACTGTTTTGGAGTTAATTTTGTGACCTGAGTTGGGACGCCAACGACTCGCACGTGGGAAACGCTGAGCTGACTCAGGAGACACACGTGATGGATCCATGAGATTTGAATATGGAGCTGAGATTATATATTTTGCAGAAAAAATAAATAAAAGATTGGCAAGAGGGTGTTTTTATAGTGGTTCGGATGCAACAAGCGACTCCTACATCCACTGTTATTTTATTGATCTCTGACTATTTCTATGATTTTGCCCGTAAGGCATACAAAGATGAAGAAATACAGTGTTTTTACACAGAGAAATAATTGAAGTTCAAATCTCAGCCCAGCCTCTCGCCTCCCTTCTTCGGGAAGAGAAATGCCCATTTACTCACATTTGCACTCAATGCAATTAGTGTTTTGCATGCTGCCTTGACACATGGAAGGCTCTCGTCTATTCATCTCTTTGAAATGAGATAAAGTTGATGAGAATATCTTTAGAGATATGGGCTTGACAGCTGGTACAAAGAGACATTAATTATGCTGACATAGGCTTAACTTTTGAGGCATAACATAATTGAACACTTCTTTCACCGTTTTCTTTCACACTTTACCATCACTTTCTAGCATCTCTATCTCTTGGGTTCACCAAAACTAAGAAAACCAGAACCAGTTATTGCTACAGTAGAGATTGAAGAACTTGAATTACGAGGTAATGACACTGAAGATGCAGCAAACTAGTTTCCCTGCAGAGACAGGGTGATGGCTCCTTTGTCGTGTTGCTATATGAGTTTGCAATAAGTACACGAAGTTATTTGCAGTCATAGCAATTCAATAATAACTTCTGACAGTTGGCTATAATTGTCAAGTAATTTGATTTTGCAGTAATGTATTTTTTGCTTCTTTTACTTTATTAATGTATCCAATGAAAGAAATTGTTCTTGCTTTTTTATGGTTTCTGGAAGCTATACTTATCATTGGATTTTGACATATTATATCCTAGTGAAAAAGAAAAAAAAAAAAAAATTCTATTTTCACCGAAGGATTACACCTATCCAAAATCCAAATTAAAAATTGGAACATGGGCAGTGAGAAAAAGAAGGTAAAAATGAATAATATAATAAGAAAAGAAGAATAAATAAAATGTACTTATCCATGAAGTAAGTCTAAAGGTCTTACAGTTCCATACTCTGTTTCCCAAACCAGTCAGCAAGTAATAAAACAAATACTCACGATCTGTTTCAGCTTGCTCTCTCTCTCATGGTGATGCCCGTTTACTATTTCTGTTTATGTTTTACTCGTTGATTTGGCTGCTCTGACTGGTTTCATTTGGCCGTGATTCCAAACTTGGGAGTGTTAGTTCTCTTTTCTCCCTTTTTCTTCTAGTTTGTTTTTGTGTACAAGATTTGGGTCGTCGTAGTTGCGGAAATTGTGAGTTGAATTAAAAGATGCCCGGCAAAAACAACGCTTGTTTGTTTTATAATATTCTCAAAGAGGGAGAGATTTTATTAACGATTCAAACTTTTCTCTTAAGCTTCCCTCTCTAGTTACTCTCTTCTCTGTCTATAGGTTTTCTAATTGTAAGTATCTTTTTTATCTATAGAAGTTACATCTTTTTATTTGAGGGATTATGTTAATCTGATTCGAGTTTTGAGACTAAAATATAGGTTTTTGTATTGATTTGAAGCTCTTAATTTAGCATTTTTCGTTCATTATTTATATTTTGGGAATGGAAGATAAAGAAGCAAAAACTATACCAAACTACTTACAAACGATTAATCTCCCAGCTTTATTCGAGTCATTAATTTTTTAAGCTTGTTTATTCAATAATTCTTTTTGGGGCTTGATTATTTCATTTTTAATATGCTCTTTTGCGCAGAAATAATCTGTGATTTTACTTTATAATTTGTTTTTACGAAATCAGAAATGACAAAACAAAAGGCTTTTGTTGTGCCACCAAAACCCGGAAATTCAACGTCAAATTTCTCTAGAAGTTCTCCGAGGATCAATATGCCAGGTAATATACAATTCCAATTGGGCATATGTGTTTATTCACCAGTTCCTGACTTTGTATTGGTCTTTGTGGATTAGCAGAATTTATTTGGCTGGCCTCAATGTTATTCTATCACGGACCAAGGAAGAGTCACAACACCTACTATTGTGGGATTCTTGGTGTCTTGAAAATGCAAATCAAGATGAACTGAAGAAGGCTTATAAAGGAACTGCTATAATGACTAATGATTCATCCAACAAATGTGAAGACCCTGATAAGACAGGTTCTTGCAATCGTATCTTTTTGTTGAATATTATGCTATAGGCTATGCGTCACTTATTCTACCATGTAAAAACTTCTGGATCTAGTAGTATCATGTGTGTATCAATGCATTGTTCTTGATGTATAAGTCGCCACAGTCACCTACTTTGAATGCTTAAACTAGTTGATGTTGAGCAGTCCAGGGTGACTGTATGGCACGGTGTTTAAATTATGCCATGGTGTGGAATGAATATATGTTGTTGAGGTTGTTTTGCTATATGCAGTGATAATTTAAGTGTCAATCATTTTGTTAGATGCAGACACAAATAAATCTGATATGTAAAATGTCTCTAAATGTTCTCTTCTGATAATGCTTTTCCTACCATGTGGCTCGACAGCTTTACAAAACTCGGGAGGAGAAATACCTGCTTGATCTTCACAGAGTTCAAGGTCCGCAGCTGCTCTTCCTGGATCTTTGCGGGGCCTTTCTTGCACAACTTCGGGTCCTTTAAATCAAGAAGGTTAGGGTATTGACGAAGGAATTATCCGTGAATCTATCAATGCATGTGAATAATAAACTTAAGATGTACATAACTAGTTTTCGTTTGGGATCTTTGTTAACTTTCCCCCGCAGCTGTTTTATATGGGTGATTGTTGTTTGAAACTAGCCATTAACAGTGAAACTTGGCTTTGCTCTGGCTTAGTCATTGACTCACTAGTATTGCTAGTCATTAAAAGGTATTAATGCAGTCGAATCTCGGACTTATTTTATGAACCCTAACGGGTAACTTAAATGTGTCAAAAGGTTATTCATCAGTTTATGAAAGGTAGTCAATAGCAAGTCGATCTCTGTCTTCACTAATGATCAATGTTCTGAAAATCAGACTAGATCATGACCTAGTCAAGGACCCGATTTTTGTGTTGACCACATTGGTGAGGAAAGGTTATAAATTGAGCTCATTTCCTTTATTTTATACCCAACTCCATTGAGAGAAGAGTTAATAAGAGCTTCTCATTTCAATCCTTTTTATTCTCTTGAAATCGAAAGTAAATTTAAAATTTAATAAAGCAAACACTATGTAGATTATTTATTAAGTTTGAATGAAAAGTGATTAAATGAGAAACTACAACAATCCCAAAACGGAGCAAACATTACAAAACTTTTATATAAAATTGACTATTTATAGTTGAATCCCAAAATGAAAGGAAATGGTCTCTTGGACTGCAGGTTGTTGTGTTTGTGAACTATTTAAAAGGCTGAGTAGACCTTTAGTGATTGACATGTTACTGACTTTAAATGTTTATTTTGTTGCCTTTATTTTGACAGTCTCGTGCCCATCCACGTGAAATAATGACGGAAGTTCTCAAAGCTTTGCAAGAACTGAATGTATGCTGGAAGAAGATCGGGCACTACAACATGAAGTGCAGGTGAATTCCTGGCGTCTCTGGTCATCATGAAGGCATGATTAATAATCATGTACACAATAATCACTACTTCGGGGAGGAATCCACCATTATTGAGAACGATGTTATCAAGTCACCAAATGTAATCAAGTTCGAAGTGCAGGTAACTCAAATATGCTCAATTTTATTATTCAATATAATGGTGATGTACAAGTTTTTTTATACTGAGATAGGAATGTCAACATCGATCACTCTCCCAAGCAAGTGAAAAACCTAGTTTAAGTGTCAACCATTTTGCTATCTGAAGACAAATAAATCTGATATGTAAAAATGTCTCTAAATGTTTTCTGCAAATAATGCCTTTCCTACCAATGGGCTCGACAACTTTACAAAACTCGCGAGGAGAAATACCTGCTTGATCTTCAGAGGATTCAACGTCCGCAGTTGCTCTTCCTGGATCTTTGCGCGGCCTTTCTTGCACAAGTTCGGGTCCTTTAAATCCAGACGGTTAGGGTATTGACGAAGGAATTATCCGTGAATCTATTGATGCATGTGAATAAGAAACATAAGATGTACATAACTAGTTTTCGGTTGGGATCTTTGTTAACCTTCCCCCGCAGTTTTTTACAGGTGATTGTTGTTTGAAGCTAGCCATTAACAGTGAAATTGGGCTCTGCTTTGGCTTAGTCACTGACTCGCTAGTATTGCTAGTCATTAGCAGGTATTAATGCAGTCGAATCTCGGTCTTATGTTATGAACCCTAACGGGTAACTTAAGTGAATTCGATGAAAGAATTATGTTTATTTCATCATCAATCGTCTCGCATATTATTCTCTGGTTGATGTTCTATTTTTGTTTTAGGGAAGTACGAAGCATATGTAAGGTTATATATAGAATGAACATTGGGAGGATGGATTATTTGTATTGTGTTTTCTCATGCAAATTCTCTCATTTTAATTCTAAACAAATGGCTTATTTTTCTAATAAATTTTAAGTTTAAGCCAAAATGAGAGCACAAGAAAATGGAGTTCTTATCGCATATTTCTTAAGCTAGTAACCCAAAAGCGTTCGGTAAATATATTTCAAAACTAATTATTTGTCAAATAGATTATTGGACAATTTATTATATTAAATGTTTTCCAAAGTGGTTTGTACAACTTTTCAGAATTAAATTTCTTTTTTTTTTTTAGAAATAAGTTTTACTCAAATAATGTAATAAAATTTTTAAAAAATATATATGAAAAACTAGTTGGTAAGTTATCGATGACACTGTTGGCACCATTGAAATTGCTAGTTGACGATCTATACAATGGTGTTTTTTTTACTTGTGTTGCTGGTGATGTCGCCAGATGCACCGCTAGACACAGTTGGCTAACAACTCTAGGGGTGTTCAAAAAGATGTAAAAATCGAACCGCATTGGTAACAGAATCAGAAACGGGTTAATCGAAAAAACGTTTCGTTTACAGTTCAAAGAATTCAAAAAATCGGATTTTAGATTCGGTTTTCGATTCGAGTAAAAATGAAAACAGGTTAACCGAAACCGGATTTTTAAATCGGTTTACTAATATGTATATAAACATAATATTAAAAATAATAATAATAATCTTAATCCCTAAATTTGCACAATTTCTTTTGTTGTTTTCCATTGGGACTTATATAGTTATTTTGTTTTTTTAATATAGACATTTCATTACAGACTTTTATTTTTGTTTAATTTCGGACTTTTATTTATATAAATTTTTAATGTATTGTTAGTTGTAGTCAATGGATATGTACAAATGTTTAATTATTGGATATGTATTGTTGATGTTTACAATTTAATTTAGGAAAAAAAAAAAAAAAGGTTTATACAATAAAAAGGGAAAAACTGGTTTAAAAACCGATTAACCGGTTTTTTCAAAACGGTTAACCAGTTTTTCGGTTTTCCCCTCAAACCGATTCGGTTTCGATTCAGGAATTTTCTTGAACTTAAAAACCAATTTGGTTCAACAAAGCGGTTAATCGAAACCGGTTAACCGCTTTTGGACACCCCTAGACAACTCCACTAACCAATGTTTATATTTTTTCATTCAAAATTTCTTATTTAAAAAACTCTATATATTTAATACATTCAAATAATTAAAAAGAAAACCTAGTTTCCAAAAAATACTTATATTTGATCATTTTATATGTATTATATATATTCTTAAAAGGGTGAAAATCAATTCACAAATTAAACGGAGCAAACATTCCAAAACTTTTATATAAAAATTGACTATTTAAAGTTGAGTCAAAGGTGATTAAAAGAAATGTTACAATAATTCCAAATTAAATCCATATCTCTTTACTATATGGTGTAATTTCTTTAATATTCATATAAGTTTCAATATTATTTTCCTCATATAGGCTAAAATGGTTATTGTTAGTTGGAATAAATAACATGTTTTAATTGGTTCATTTCAGCATTTCAAATAGGCTAAAATAGACCTCATATATTGACTAATTCTAATTTATGATAATTTTAATTTAAAAAGAAAGAGATGACCAAGATCGACGAATTGTTGTAACGCGCAGGTCATGTAAGCTTTTTCTCATCACCAAATCATGTCTAACATTTTCATCAAACGGTAGAAAATGGGAGTTGTTTAACAGTGAAAAGGTCTCGCACTGGAATATGAGTTATATATCCCCCTGTTGGATGGATGAACCGGGACAGGATTAGGGAATTAGGTGGATATAAAACGCGGGACAAGCTGATTAGATTCGTAAAAATGTTAATATTAGAGGTTAAAAGCAAAAGGGTTTAAAGCAAAAAGGTTTAAGCCACCTAATGTTAGAAAAAAATTCATTTAACGTTGACATGAACTCCATTATCAAATGTTGACATGGAATCAACATTATCACGCTTGGAAGGGCGCAAGTGACTTCCAGGCGACCAAATATTGACTGACTCTATCCTACCAAAATGACTATTTTGCCACCTACCTTTACGTTTGTTAGTGGCCTGTTTGTTTCCAAGGGAATGACTGAATGGCAAAATAGTCATTTCGGTAATGCCACAAAGAATTGTTGTTGCATTAACAGGAGCAAAGTCCCAAATCGAATCAGGATCTTCACATTTGTTGGGGTCCATTTTGCCCAAATGGGTTCGGTTAAATTCATTAAAATGTTACTTTTTATACTCGGATGATTGAATTATTTTCACCAAATTTTAAGGACTAAAATAAATTTAAGCTCACTTTCTAGAATCACTATCAGACTATCTAAAAAATTTGGATCAAAATATTACTATTTAGACTTGGAGGATTGAATTATTTCCACCAAATTTTAGGGACTAAAAAAATTTAAGCTTAAATTTATTTTAGTCCTTAAAATTTGGTGAACATAATTCAGTCCTCTGAGTCTAAAAAGTAACATTTTTATCCAAATTTTTGAGAGGCATTTGCTTGTTACCAAGAAATTTCGAGGATATAATATACAACCCGTGCAGGAGGGTTGGATGGATGGATTCATTAAAATATTATAATTATAATAATATATTAATATTAGAGATTAAAAGCAAAAAAGCTTTAAGTTCAAGTTGAAGCGCCGGGCCCGCCTCTAGTTAGAGAAAAAATTCCATTGATTAAGATATTTATATTATGATATAAGAGACACAGGATCTAAAGGATCTATTAGAAACAAAGGATGTCTTAATCTTAAACCCCATTTCATTTGTCTCGTAGCTCGTAGGACCCGCCTAACTGATTATTAAGAAAAATGAAATGGCTTTTGATTTGATACACGTGTACGAGTTTTACTCATACACGTAGGAATGCATAACAAAGTATTATTTCCAAAGCAAAACCGCCAAAGCGGTTACTCAGAAAGCTTCTTTTTCTTCTTTCAATTTCTTTTATTGTACCAAAGGATCTTTTATAATAATTTACAAGCTTCTGAACTGAATTTATTCCAGTGCTTGGACCAAGTATTTTGTATTAAGGATTGACATTTAAAAAAAAAAAAAAAATTACCAAAATTTTTACATATTATAGTCGGAGATGAGAGTTCTAATGGGCGTAATGTTGTAGAAACAAAAAAATTCTTAATTCTAGTAAAAATATATCTTGGAAAAGAGAAGATAAAATTTTTTTAGGATGGAAAGAATATCATCTATGAATTGACCTTTGGTATTAACAAATTTTGATCAATCTTAAGCATTTTGAAAATTAAGATCCAACCATCATGACAAAACATATCCATTCAAAACTATAGCAAAATGAAAACTTGATTAATTAGGTGCATTTCAAGTCAAGTATTTAAGCATTCAAAGTTCAATCTCAGAGCCTTCTGGAAAATTAAAAAACCACCTCAACAGCATATATTCATTCCAAACCCATCACACTCACACGAGTTACTATTGCATCCTGGCTCTTCTTCTCACTCATGCTATCTTTTTCTATGCTCCGTGGCCGTACGATCATCAAACTTGCTTCAGTTAATGCCACGTGTTCACATAAAGTAGTTGTTGGGTTTTTACTTTTTAGATCTTTAGATCTTCAATTATAAATAGCTCTAGTCTGTGAGTGAGAGCTCATATTTTTGTCTTGGCTGTTATAGAACTCCTGAAAGCATGCATTTCTCCATTGATTTGAGGTTTATTTTCCTACCCTTGCTAAACTTTTTCTTCTTTGGATTAATGGATTTCCAAGCCCAAAACATTCTTCGATATCCATTTCTATGTATCCTGTTATCGATTCTTGCTCTTCTTTTACTATTAGTTTTCCTCTTCACACCTATCACACTCCGTCTTAGTATCGGTCGTCCCATCCTTTTGCGTCCTGGAAAGTTTTCTCTTCTCCTAGCTCTGTCAATCCTAACGTCATTTGTTTTACCACTCTTACATTTCTTAGTAGCCTATTTGTTTCTCATTATTATATCTCCATGGGATGCACTGCTATGGAGTCTAACTGAACGCTTCTTCAACTATCTTCTTCACACTCTATCATCACTTCCTACCATCTTTATCAATTGGGTTAACCAAAACCAAGACAACTCAGAACTAGCTATTGCTACGGTTGAAGAGATTGAAGGGCTTGAAGTATGAGGTAACTTTGCAAAAGATGATATGGAGATAGAGCAAGTTAGTGTAGGAGGAAACTTAGCAGGAGATGATATGGTTATGAAGCAAGTTAGTGTCAGTTAATTTGAGTTTGTTGTGTGATATTTTTAGTTTCTTTTACTTTATTATTGTATCCTATAAAAGAATTGTTGTTAACTTTCCAGTTTATCATCCAACTAGCTTCGATCAAGTTTTTGCTTAACAGGAGCTAATCTTTGCTTTTAGGATTTTTATAAATTTTATCTTGATAAAAAAGAAAAAAATATATATTCACCCTTGGATTACACCTATCCAAATTAAAAAGAAAATCTAGAAAATAAAAAATTGGAACATGAGCAGTGAAAAAAAAAAAAAGTTGAAAATGCACTATTTTAAATTTTTAATAATATAATGAGAAAGAGGAAAGGTCGCACTCTGTTTCCCAAACCCCTAAGCAAGTAATACAACAAATACCCACAATCCGTTTCAGCTTGCGCTCTCTCTGTCTCTCTCTGGTGGTGATACCCGTTTACTCTTCCTGGTTTTATATTAGTCGTCGATCTTGCTGCTCTGACTGGTTTCATTTGGCCTTGATTCCTGTTATGCCCGGGAAAATAAAGGGCTGACGTGAGAAAGTCACGTTAAGGGTGACCTGCTCCCGTCAGGGCAACACGCACACGTCAGACCTGCAAAATAATATGGAGCTCACACGCATCCATTCCTCTACAGCAAGTCGTGTGAAGTCAGCTTGGAAAAAGGAAAATGGGACGT